ATTTGAAGAGGTATCAAAGGTTTAAAAAAAGTCTGTTTAGAGATTCTTTTCACGATAACGCGTTTAAAACATCAAATAAACTTCAGGTAATCTAACAAGAAATGTATAGTCAAAACGACGCTAACATGGCGGTGTTGAGTAAATGACGTCACAGCGTAAAACTGCTGTACATAATGACTCGTTGGCCGTGACACAAAGAAATTAATGGCGGACGAAAATAAATCGTAAAATTTTGGCCCTTCCCTTTCGAATATTAGAAAGATATTTCAGTGAGAGGTTCTTAATGTGTTCAAGATTATTTCAGCAAAGTTCCAGCTCGAATGAAAGAGTTTTAATTTTGGAACGATTTTCGTCCAAGTGGCCCTCAGCCAATTTTTCGAGAGTATTTTTGCGATGAATTGTGGGTACTTTTTCGCAAACAATCCAGGTTTCTTTCTTCGACTGGTCAGCGGTAATGCGTTCTTTTGGTTCAACATTTAACTGAAAAACGATGAAATAAAATGCTCGTTGAACATGTACATCACGTAACATGGATGAAGTGAGGTACGTTGTTCAGAGCAGTTTTCGTATGACTGTGAAAAGCTCGCGGCACGAACTGTCGTGACACTGCAAGGCAGATGCCAAATAAATCAAAGTACGCGAACCTTTGTTTTCCATCCAATCAAATGCCCGTACCGTGGTGCGGACATGGTCACGCCAAGGTCCCGACACTAGCAGACCAATCACATCGCGCGAGAAAACAACCTGCCAATTAAAATCCTAGAAAACTTTGCGGTCACGGCACGGTACGCTTACGGCACTGAGATTTTTACAGTCATGCGAAAACTGCTCTTGACCTAATAGACCTAATATCTGCATTAAATGGACCTAGTACCTCTGGCTTGGGCGTCATGTTGTCCCATTTCAGACCACGTGTCATTCCCTAGAGTATCATTTCTTTGTTTTTAATGGTTTTGCATGAGAAGACACATGAATATGGATACAACTTAAACAAAGAATCTTCTTCTCAAGAGAATGACACGTGGTCTGAAATGGGCAAACATTACGCCCAAGGTAAAGAGGTCTATATTTAGCAAAGTCTTCAAGCCCGAATGAGCTATTGACTCGTAGGCCATGAGTTCGAGAGGACTAATTGTTTTAGTCTAATCCAACTAGTTGTTCAAATATATAGATGCAATCAATTTTTGAATTAAATTCAAATTCAATGTTTTGGTTTTCAAAGCCGCACTTTTGGCTACTAGTAGGATATAACTAATAGACTAATAGTAGCTCATCCAATCAGAACGCAGCATCGCTGATAGACTACTTGTTTTATTTTTTTACTAATTTTTGTTTTTCTCTTTAGGTTTTTTTTTTTTTTTTGACTAATTTATATCTAGCATTCATTCATCTGTGACTAGACTTACCATTTTAGACAAACGACTCATGGCTTCAGGCGAGATGCCCTTCAATTCAGCTTGTGGGAATCGTATTTGGCCATTTGTGATTAACTTAAATAACTGTGGACGTTGAGTGCTCCAGAACGGTGGATATCCTGCCTGATAAATTAATTGTCTTTCAGTTTATTTATTTTCATCAATACATATATATGACTTTTATTACTTAAATTACCCTTCTATCAAAACCCAAAACAACTTCTGGCTGATCTAAGTCAGGGCATGGCTAACTCGCAGATAGAACTCTGAAACAACCTCTGGGCTGATCTAAGTCAGGTCATGGCTAACTCACAGATTGAACCCTGAAACAACCTCTGGGCTGATCTAAGTCAGGGCATGGTTTACTCACAGATTGAACCCTGAAACGACTTCTGGGCTGATCTAAGCCAGGGCATGACTAACTCACAGATAGAACCCTGAAACAACCTCTGGGCTGATCTAAGTCAGGGCATGGCTAACTCGCAGATAGAACCCTGAAACAACCTCTGGGCTGATCTAAGNAACCTCTGGGCTGATCTAAGTCAGGGCATGGCTAACTCGCAGATAGAACCCTGAAACAACCTCTGGGCTGATCTAAGTCAGGGCATGGCTAACTCACAGATAGAACCCTGAAACAACTTCTGGCTGATCTAAGTCACGGCATGACTAACTCGCAGATTAAACTGGTATTAAGCTTCAAGTTTCGAAAAAGATGGAAACCCGCAGAACCAGGGTAAACCTTCAGCTACCTTTGAATCGAGGATGAGATCTAAAAAACTCTGCTCGCTTGCATGTGATGGCGAGTCCAGGAATCGAATGTGCCAATCTCGTACCCAGAGCCTGCGTTTCTTCTTGCCTGCGGCGAAGAACGAGGGCTCTGGCATAATCGCCAGGGCCATCGTTCTTTGCCCTCAGGCCGAAAGAAACGCAGGCTCTGGGTACGAGATTGCGAACGTGCTAGACCTCGGCGGTGATAATTGAGTGCGCTACATTCACGGGGAAATGAAGTTGCAATCAGAATTTTTTTAAACTTGGCATAAACACACCCCAACATATTCTTGTTCAAAAACACGAAATAAAAATTGGGGTCACCGAATTTATTTTTTATTTTTCGCTAAACGCTGAGGAAATATCGCATTCATCGAGGATGTAACGCGCGCTATAAAGTAACCTGAGGGATCGAAGAAACGCTTCGAAAAGAATCAAAACGAGATGCAGAAAACAAATGCATTGCCATCAAATGTGACTTTCTTTGACATTTCTGAATTAAAAGCATGTGAGTAAGAGTTAGTGATAAGGATTTTTATGAAACTTTCAATCCGTTTTGTAGAATTTGGTAGTATCTTGATTTTAAGACAAAGAAAAATAGGGGTTACCGATTTGGTTTCCGAGATATTTTTCCTAAAAAAAGTGAAAAATGAGTTTTCTTGATATTTTGCACTTCAAAATATTCGTATGACGTCATCATGTTAAGCACGCGCGCACTAAACTTATGCGTAGAAAGAATGCGCAAAAACTATTCCCGCGAACGTCCTTAATTCTAAATTTTTAAGTTCTCTTTTAGCTTTATATATGAATAGATATATATAGCTGAGGAATATAAAACGTCAACGCGCGCGCGTATATAAATATTTTATAACTACCAATAGGATATAAAGTATAACTCCACACGCCCATATATCAACAGGGGTACCAATTGGTTGATCTGTGACAGTCTCTGGTGCTAGATACAGCGGAGACCCCTCTACTTGACATCTTACTGTGTCCCACTCATCTGTACATCAAAGTCACAATCATACATCACTGAGGACCCGTTTGTCACGCATAAACGTTACAGTATGAGGCTACGTGCTAAATGCCCAGTCATTCGATCGTTACAGGCGGTAAGAATAAATTCAATTTAGCACGTAGCCTCATACTGAAACCTTTGTGCGTGACAATCGAAGCATATCTCGGAGGAGGGCTATTGTGGATGCATTAGCACCACTGAGACATTTTACCTGTTAGTCGTCGCGCGATTCCAAAACCAGTCAATTTTATTGGAGGGAATGGCTGGTCGCTAACAGACTTCCAGGCTAATACAAACTTTTCAGGTCGGATGTTCTGACAAAAAAAAAACCGAATGAATTTTATCAAAGTATGATATACCGTGACCGTGACGAGCTAGTATGTGACCGGGTGTGCGTGACCCAGGTGTGCGTGATTTGACGTGTCCAAGGACTGTGATTGGTAGAAAACCATGAAGATATCCCGCAGCCTGAGCTTCAAGCGGAATTCTGAATTMAATTCATAACTACTTCTTATTCTCTTAATATATTTGCTCAGGCAAAGAAAAATAAAGTGGACTATTTCGACGATGCGGCGGCCATTTTGAATCGCAAGGAATTATGGGAAGTCCTAGGGGCAAATAAAGCTTTGTTAGAGAGTAATGACGTCGTTCTATACTAACAACTCACCACAAAAGAAAAAAAAAAAATAGATTAGACGAAGCTCTGTATATTTTCCGTCATCTTTGTTTCATTTTGCTCCCTGGCAAGATGGCCGCCTCATCGTCGAAGTAGTCCGATGGATAGCTTTGCGCCCAAAGCATAAGAGTTACTCTGTGAACAACGTGTTTCTCGTGTAGATACTGTACTGCATCTAGAATCTGTACAAGACTTACCCTGTGAACAACGTGTTTGTCGTGTAGATACTGTACTGCATCCAGAATCTGTACAGAAATCTCCCGCGCAGTCTGCTCTGAAAACATGCTTCGACAAACAATATCGTTCAACAAGTCTCCACCTGACGCATGCTCGAGTACTAAGTAGTATGACTGCTGACCAGCGTACATGTAGTGCAGGCGAATAATATTATGGTGATCGAGTTTCTGAAGAATCTGGGAAACCATAATGAAGAAAAAATTCAAGTCATAAAAGCATAAAAAGAGGTTTACTCGAGTTTTAAGATTTTTTGACTTCTTCAGCTGTACATGATACAGGCAACCCAGTGAACGCCTACAGAGGGTCTTGTTTCCTAATAATGTTGTAGCATTTCAATTGTTTCCTAGCCATGACAATGTCGAGACTTTTAAATTGATTCTTAAATTTAAGTATTAATGTTTAAATGGATTTCTAGCCTTTAATGTCGTCAACATTGCAATGGCTTCCTAGACTTTAATG